CATGATAGGAAAGAGAAAAGAATTGGGCGGATCTGCGGTGATAATTGAACCACAACGTGTGATGACGTGTGAAACCGAGATGTGAGCACTCTTAACATCGAGGCTAGTCTCCTCAAGGTCCGAACAGCAGCAAAGTCGACGAGTGTACGCGTGGAGCACGTCTGAAGAGGCATCTCGGTGATTACAGATACGGGGATAATGTCATAAATTTCATGAATGTCAATATGAGCCGAGTCTAGAAGAAAAGCCACCTCCTATTAGTACAGTGATCATTGGGTTGAACAAAGGCATTAACAAAAGACTGACCCTAAAGAATCCAGGATTCAACAAAGAATATTGACGTCAAAGGGCCTTCAACTTCCCATAGTGGTACCAGAACGGTAATACGGTTGGAGGAAGTGGTTACGAAGGCGTGAATCTCTGACATTATCTCGGGCAATTGTGTTGGGTAGCTGGTATACTGCCCGGACCGGCTTTGATAAGAGTGTTATTTTGAGTTGATAGACCCCACAGCTGATGGCTCACATCACGCGCCTCACACGAACGACTGATAGCGAGTGGAACGACAGAAAGCAGGGCAAGGATGTGAAGGTAAATGGGATTTCAGGTCGCTGTGATATCTGAGTACAGAGCAGATGATGGACAGATCCTGGAGTTCTGGTAAACCGTACAAGCGTCACCTACTCACTCGATCAATGCCACGATGCGACTGGGATTTGCCTTGATTTCGTCGAAGTATTTTCGTTTGTCGAACCAGTATCATTGATTCTCGTGGTGAAGTAGGACCGCTGGGGTAGGTAAGATTAATAAACAGGCGCTGTGAAAGGGTGAGTCAAAACATATGGAGGAGATGCTGTTCGCGATTCGAGTAGAAATATCATACGCGCGCGTTGACTTCAGTGACCGTGCCAACTATTAGAAGCATCAAATTCAGTGGTACTTCTTGCTTCCCTATACTCAGGCGTGGCTGTATGGTTGGCCGACGGATTTGATGGATTTGATGGCGAATCTGATCCTGCGCCAATATCCCTCTCCGGAGCTGCGCCAGAGAAGGGGGGACCGGATGAAAATTTGGAGTCCTCGGAGTCATCAAAACGTTTGCACTCGCATTGTCATTCGATACGGCTGTTGTCTTCTTGAGGGGGGGAACAAATAGCCGCGCATTGATTTTCAGTTTTCCTTGTCCTCAGACTGTACCTCAGAAGATCAAAGGACCAGGATCGTACGGTGTTGTGTGCTCAGACTCTGTGGGCGCTACTTTGAGGTGAGAGACCAGAGGGCTGATGCTTGCATCGCGCGCATTGAATCATGTTCGTTCATAGTGTGAAAACATCCAGATATTTCGCAGAGACTACCCTCTTTTGGATTGTGCTTGGCCGGCTATGTCCTAGCACGACGAGGAGGGCAGCCGAAGGGATCTGTATCAGGGGGACAGCCATCGCAACGATCGGTGGGCCTTTGAGAGAGAACTAAGTAGAGCGGTGGACACGAAATATAATTGTGGCATGTATCACGGGAGCTCGTCTTTTTGTCGGGACGGATAATCTGCTGAGGGGTGACTTTGAGGACCGATACGGACGGCACGTATCGTGTTCTCTCAGTGTATCAGGGTTGGAAATACTCATCGAGGGCACCTCAAGTGGTCAAGCATCACTTCCTGTGTAGAATCGGCATTCGGAGACTTCGTGATGATTGAAGACACACCAGGTTCTTGGAGTGCTGGCATAGTGTCTAGGCGAGTAATAAGAATTTTAGCACCTTGCGTAAACCCATAAATAGGGATTGTGGAACACCAACAAAGGAAGGATTTAAAATGACAGCGGTAATGCAGTCGATCGAAGTCAAGCCCAAGCTCACCCATGGCCATAAGGCTCTTCCGACCTGATGCTTGGGCCTCTTTCACTAAAGCAGTCGAGTCTGATGAGTTTATCAGGCGTTGTTGGGCAAAGGGGTTCCTCTTCCGAGAGGTGGACGGTTTCAGCATCGCTTGACGTTCTGGAGGAACTGTGGAGGCGAGTAGGTCGTAATCGGTTCAGCTTCAGTGCTAGATACAGCACCGAAGTGTACCAAAGAAGACAGATGACATTGAAGCAGGGAGGGGAACTTTGAGTATTGGCTAACAGTCGATGAAGTCGTAGGATGGGCACACGTAGCGAAAAGCTTCGGTGGACATCACGCGTATTTGTGGCCGTCGCTCGACCGAGGGAATACCGCATAAGAGAACCAGTCTCACCCTTGTAACGCGCACGCTCTGGAGGTCAAAAGGTGATGACCTTGAGTTGAGGCATTCCGACGAGGCGCGCGGCGGCCGTCAGCGTCTGGCTGGATTGATTTTTTGCGGGCTTCGGAGATGCATGAAAATGGTGTTTTGAAGAGAGAGGTTGTAATAGGGGTGTTTCTGATCATTGGAGAGAGGGCCGGGCGTGGCTGAAGAAGAGATACGAAGCCGTGATGCAGGCAGCGGAAGGCACTCAAGGCTTGTTCAAACTGGCGAAAGAGTACTTGTAGCAGCAAGATGGAATTATCAACGGCCAGTGGCGGGCATCCCGGCGTGGGGCAGGGATGGGCTGCTTGATCCCCTTTCAGCGATGGAAAGGCTATGATGAAGCATAGGTAAGCTTTGGGGAGGCCTTAGACCGGTTTAGATACTTCTAATGTGATAAGAGAGCTCGGCTGGAGAGAGTGTGCCTTTGCCTCTCGGCTCATACCCGGTGCTTGTTCCTTGACTGGTCCAGCTGATACCAATATCGATGTATCTGGGTTTGTCGCTGGACTCCTCAACCGGGTGGGTTTGAAGAAACTATATTGCGAAATCGTGAGGCTTTTGATGTCCTGAGACTGGGTTAGTAACCGTACGTAGCAAGGGACAATAACTACCCATCTGACACTCAACTCGCGCGGGAGTAAAGTGCGCCTTGTTGCTGACGCAGGGTCACTTTGAAGATTTTGGTCCTAATTCGGGATGCGAGACTTGCGGCAGTGGGTTCGGCAGGCTTGAGCAGTGCAAGGATCAGGAGAAATGCTGTCTTTGTCGTGCCGACAGCAAGCAGCAGTTTTGAAGCTGGCATGTTATCCGCCGGATTGGCCAGTGGGATTCCGTCGGACACCGGTGAGACGCTGGCCAAGTTCTCAAATCTTGTGGTCCCGAATTTTCGCCTGTCTTGAGTCACGAGCAGGGAAAGCATCTTCACCGATTGACCGTCCAGTTTTGCTTTTGTCACGACGGGTACGTCAGTCCCATCGCAGGAGGGGGGGGGGGGGGGGGGGGGGCGAGATTCCTGAAACGCAGATCGCTGCACAGGCCAATAGCGGAAGTCTGCCGTCACTTCTGTGGTGCACTGGAAAACGAACATTGTTTTGCTCGAGGACGTCGGCCGTCGAGATGGCGGAACAGGGTTGCTGCGCTCTATGACCACGACTCGTAGGGTTACGGAATCGTTTGGCAACGGGATTCTGAGTTAATTTAGCGGACCAAACGATAGCCACCATGAAACGCCAACGTTGCGTGCATGGCCTGCTCCAGAAACACCGTTGGATAATCTGAGTCCCTTACCTTGCAAGAGGAAGCTAAGAATGCTTTTGTACGACAGCAAGGGGACTGCTCCAAAAAGTGTACACCATCACATGAGGTGCTTCGAATGGGACTCAAGGGATGACCACATAGTCGAAATACTGGATAACCTTATGCCTGCAGAAATATTAGCTTGTTGCTTCGTGGGATTGCATTGCCCTGTGACAGGTTGGGGGCGTACTTTTCACATAATGATACCCTGGCACATCAGCCGGTCACTACGGGGCGTGGAGAGAATCATTTGCGCGTGACAAGAGCAAATCTCGGTGACCGGTATTCCGCTTTTGATTAGGCCTCAGACCATGGGGGATATGATTTGACATGAAAGGCCGTTTGAGTCCGTTTGGGTGACTGGGGTTGAAGTTTGGAACCCGACCAAGAGACGTTCTTGTTCAAAACGTCAGGGCCTCGCTAATGCGTCGTGTGATGTGATGAAGGGAGGGCGGGATCTGTCGTTGCGGGGAATGGAAGACGATTGCCATCATCGAAGGCAAGGGACTCGTGCACTTGAAAGCGTGTGCAAGTTGTAAGTTTGGATTGTTGATGGAGGAAGACGTAAAACAGATGACATCGTGGAAGGACCTGGCAGGTGCGCAAGCATTTCCACAACGCAGCATAAGAAAAAGTCAAGAGAAACAATCGAAGAGTATTCAACCCGATTGAACTTGAAATGAAAACATGACTAGTTTCGACATCGTGTTCTCACGCGTGAAAGGCGAAAGGCAACTAGTTGTTTTTGACGGATTTGTTGTGATTGCGCTGACGATGGCGGCAGGGCAGATAACCACGAGAGGCTCGACAGATCCATTCTCCATGTTAGCCGGATTTTGGAGTGGTTGCAACTCACCTTGATTGCGTCTCCTACATTGCCTGAAGTCTCAACAGACCAGGTCCCCGGACGGCACCACGTGGAGGTTGTAGAAGTCCGACTTCGCCGCCCTTCCCCCATCAGCCCGATGGAGGCACCCCGATTTGGGACTCAGCAACGTTGGAATGGTTCTCAAACTCAACTGAAGCTGGACCTTGGCTCAATCAAACCCACACGATTGGCCACGACTCAGAAAAATGCTAAGACAAAGCTTGGATGATTCTGGACGACTTGGGGAACTTTAGTTGACTCAAGAAACTCCGAAGAGAAGGTTGGACGATTTGACTCTGCCACATTTCTGCCCCTGCTTCATCACTTCTGCACTCTACAGCACATCATCCCAGTTACCCTCATGGTATGCTTGCAAATAGTCTTGCGGCGGGTTAGGGATTGGACCCTGGAAATACCGGCCTCCACGTACATTCGCCAATGCGGTCTAGAAAAAGAAGACAGGTCTTGGCCGCCTCCACGCCACTCCAAAATTGACTTCTTCTCGGCCTCGATAATCTCATGTGACGATGTTTTTTGCCTCCCATTGATACAGTCCCATCTTGCAGCCCTTTACGCGCTTGGCTGAATGTCTTTGGACTCTTGAGCGAAGACTTTCTTTGGCTCATCCTTGGATCCAGTGTATTGCCTGTTCTCGGCTTCTGCCTGGGCCATCCCAGCCACACGCGCCTGAGTCGTGCGATCATGATAGGCACTCAAAAGCAAAGGCCGGATCTTGTTGTCGGCATCGTCTTGCTCGATCGTAGACTCATGGGGCCGCATAGCCGTGGGGAGAAACGCGTACCAGTCGCCATACTCTAGCATGAAGTGGAGGTCGCTGATTTGGGCTTGGACTCTTCTTTCTTCGGCTTGTGACTCCTCCAGCCGGACCTTGGCTTGTTGCAACTGTGCTTCGAGGTCTTGGATCTTGTTGGCGAGGGCGGCAGAGTTGCTTTTGGCCTCTTGCTTTTGGTTCTGCTTTGCCTCAAAGAAGTCGAATGACGATTGGAGCAGGCCATTATCGCGGGACTTGGTGGCGGCATCGAGGAGGGTTTCAGCCTGTTTGGACGAATCGGGGGAGAGCTCTCTCTTTTTCCATCGTCGAAGGCCTCGGCAATGTTGTCATCGGTCTCATCCTCACTGTGCTTGCGCTTGGGCCGCTGTGGAAGTTCGTTTGAAGACATAGTGGGATGTTTGGTGACCGATACTTTGTGTGCAGGGTGTTTGTGTATTTGATTCAATGTAATTGTGTGGACGTTGCAATGTGATGATGGTGATGAAAATAGCGAGTTTCCATGCGAGTCTGGGATGATATTTGTGTACACGGTGTGACCATGGCGCCTTCCCACTCTGTACCCGATGGCAATGAGTCCATCAGCCGAAGGACAAATGCATTCATGAATATACTCATGTCACCCCAATAGCTCCCTCGTCTTTCCGAGACTGAATCTGGAAATGGTCCTCGAAATTTGAAAGCAAATTCGAGGGTTGTCTTCATCCCATCTAGCCACGACTGAGATAGCGGCGATGTCACAGTCACATCTGCTATGGGGGTCGTCTGGTGCCTGCAAAGTGAACAGGGGCACTCCTCCCCTCGCATCTCGACTCGAGAAGGTGACCCAAGTTTGCCGCACCATCAGCGTACCAGTGTCTTCGCGATTCCAAAAACTTACCGCCGATTTCCCGAATGGCCAAGAATAGTAACTCCCACGACATGGTTCAGGTGATGAGCTTTCACATCAGGGGCTCAACCGTTCACGCCCACGAGGGACCTTCCCGTCGAGTCCAGTGAGACCAAAGCTTTTGGGAATAACGGCAGAGATACCATTGTTGACAGACTTGGCAGGAGTAGGTAAGTCCATCGATGAAGTAGCGAGATCGCTCCCCAAAATGCCCAGGGTCAAGTGTAGCAGAGTAACGTGGTCATGCGGAACCCTTGAGAATTCCTCATGGTAATTGACACGACCGGAGCGAGACAGCCTCCAAGTCGGTACCAATCACCTTCGTATCCCGATCAGTTTATCGCTATTTCTTGCTTGACAATAAGGGCCAGCACGCGGAGGACAATCGAATACCAACACGATTATGGCCGTTGGAGGAAAACAATGTCGACGGCATTCTCAAGCATATATGCTTTCTTCGACGACTTCGAGGGAGTACCTTCAAGTTCCAAGCTCTAGACAACAGGGCTTAGCGCACAGGCTTCAAACCCACCGCGAGAGCCGCGAAAATCCTGCATCTAAAGTGACAAATACTCGACAATTGGGGTTTCCTGGAGGGTCTGGGCTACTCTCACTATGCAAATTACGACATAGAGAGGAGGTCAGTGCTCGTGGAAACCATCTAGGCCCATCAGTCTGTCACGGTGTGAGAAGTCCTGGGCTCTTGCAGAATGATCATGGAAATACAAAGATACAGTATGATGATAGCACCGGCTCCTGACTCCTCCATGAGACATGGGTTGGCGAGAAATCATCATATGACCGACGGCAGTCAATCATAAGGAACCTTGATCTACAGCACTCGGCCCCACGTTGTCAATAGACTCAAAGGATGGTTACACGACCCCATTCAACTGCCGGCCACTTCTTTCTGTCTACGAACAGTGAGAGTGGTTGCATTGCACACTTTTCTCATCTTTTCTTCGACATAGGCTGATGTATCTAGTTTCCAATCTGCTTCGGTTGATGCGGGCTACCATTGGAAGAACCACAAATTCGAAGACTCATTCTACTTCTGGCGATGACAAGCCGTCAAAACTCAGCGAGTGACAAAGTGTTGTGGTAACTCTCTTGCATTACCGTCAAGACCTGAGTAAAAGCCGGGGGGAAGGCTCAAAAGCCTCAGTAAGACACATCTCGAGACACCACCGTCAGTCAGGCTTCAAGGCATGCTATTTTTTCTGACAAGATGAAGCAAGCCCTTTAAGACCTCACAAGCTGAAAGTTTCGCGGGTAACGATTGACCTTGATTCTCGTACAATTGGTCCTCCACCCGTCCAACCACAAAAGAGTATCAGAGCTTCGATGCGACAACCGCATTGCTATTTTGTTACAACTTTGCGGCATGACGGCGGCTCTCCACAACCACACGGCCTTTGAATCCCCAAGTTGTCACTCTGGGGCTACATTTACCATTTCAAAATAGCTTAGAGGCTAAAGACTCACAGAGTCACCTACAGAGTGACATGTGCGAGTCTGATGGCTGAACATGGTGCAGAACGAATCAAAGTCAAGTCGACCCTTTTCGTGGTTTTCTCGAGATTTGAAGCGTCAATCTATCACTGCATGCGTCCTATATATACGAAATGACTCCTCCAACGTATCCCGCAGCTCTTCGCATGGGTTTACAGAAAGCTTTAAGTGCCTCAGAGACAACACTCCACGTGAAGGTATAGCCCATCAACCGGGATGGCATAACAAATTCGTCCGCGCCGAAATAGATGATTCAGCAAATGTTTTCCTATGTTGCAGAGAACTCGCACATTCTTTCCAGAATGCCTTTCATTATCGCATCGTCCATTGTGGGATAGTATATGACCGAGTGTGCACCACAGCCTTGCATTCCAAGGCTGCTGGAATCCAATAATTCCCAAATCGCAATTCTGCGCCTGGCTTTGCCAAGTTCGGAATATGGAGAGCACTTTAGTTAAAGAGTCGAGACCAGTCATCTAGCACTGTGGTCATCTGAACAAAGCACTGGAAAGGGCTCTGGACATGACAAGTTACAAAGCCTATCGGAAGTAGTCGGCTCTGGATGTTTCTGAGTCACAGTGATGTTTAAACCATGCTGGGCATGAAGCCACAATACTACGAGTGCAGTGAAAGTGGATGGTCATGCTTTACGTGATCTGCTTATACCATCACAACAGAGGGGCGATAAGCCAAAATCTGTGTCTTTACTGGCTATATTTAAATCTGCCAATGCACGATGTTGTAGCTCTCGTGCCGTCTTATTTACTCATTGAGTGATGTGAGTGGCTGGAAATATGCTTCTGGAAATTTCGACTCTGGGCACCATGAGCGTCAAAACTGAGCAGAAAACACCTCCTTCAGATAACCAGTAATTGTTGATGCAAGGCTACTGCGCCTGCGATGTCACCACTCTAGCAATAAACCTCAGTCGGTCGCACCACCAGCTTGTCCCAGTACCATATCCGTTCCGCAAACATCAATACCAAACGATGATTCCCTAATCTGCCGTTTTGGCGATTCGTTCTTCGGGATGCTCCCAGGCTTCACCAGCTCTGCGATTTCGTGGAGGTTGTGATTGTCAACACACGTCCCGCTTTCCAGTCCAGTTCCTTGCGAAAATATAATGCTATGAAACTAACAGCCGGGCTCAGGCGGGACTATGACAACTTTAGGCCTAAACCTTCTAAAGTTTAGGCACTCCTTTGCGAAACTTTACAAGTTTTAGGCTAGCGGCGGGATTGCATACCGTTGACTTGGGCTGTTCTCTCATCAGAAACGGTCAGACATTGTTGCGACATTAGCAGCTTGGAATGCCTTCGCTGTCGGAGCGGCCGCTTGCTGCTGCTGCTGCTGCCCCGAAGGGCGACGAGATGATGAAGAGTTCTAATTCCGCATATGGTTCAGACGCTCGAAAATCGACAATAGGCTGATGGCTGTAGTTACGTTCGAGAAGTTTCGGTGCTGTAACAGTCAGTCATTGGATTCAAGAGTGGTTGGGGAGGGGGGGGGGGCGAACTTACACCGCGCGAAGCGGTCCGATCGAGGCCGAAGCCGCGCCCCCGAGAGGGTTGATGATTGGCTGTCTCCTAATAAAATTGTTAATGTCCCTTCTGTAAAACCACGCATATACTTTTAGTGAAGATCCCTCCCCTCATCCCGTTCATCATGTTTGGTCGGGCATGGTGTAAGGAAACCAAGCATGGTGCTCGAGAGCATATTGTGAGAGACGGCCAGCGTAATGACCGATCGGCATTTGTCTGTCGTTCGGATTTGAGAAAGTGACTCGAATGAGGTGGCGGTGAAAACATCGTGTCATGTCGCTTTTCATCGGTCGTTGGTTTGGTGGCTGGTCTGTAGGGGTGATGTTCGTGTACTATGTATAAATACTTACGCTGAAATATCTTTTGGAATTGTTCTAAGAAAGTTAGCATTGCGATAACTTATACATTGTGAAGGGAAACTTACTCGAGGCATTGCGATGTTTTTGTTCTAGAAACACAGATGGTCAGAATCCTCTTCAAACAAACACGTCGGGGAACTGCTGTAGCTGAAATAGGGGATACTTACGGAAGAGGTTGAAAAGAAGACGTTTGGCGGCTAAAGGAAGAGAGAAATAGTCAGCACCTGTTCCACAAGAATTGAATTTCGATGGTGGGAATGGGCAGACTCACAAAAGTTGACGGTTGGTTGCTCTCATATTTGTGGTGATGGCTCATTCCTGCACTGTCGCAACAAAGGTTTCCGTTCAGCACTTGCAACGGGTGCGATGATAGAGACACAAATATTCTCACCTTGCTTTTGTGCACTGCAGTTGACCCGTGATGGGTATCGGCACTCAGTCGGATTGTTTCGGCGCGTTGGAGATGCTTGTAAGTGGTGTTTTGACGAAGCGCGTTGATGAACAAGATCTGTTGACGAGGCAGAGGAAAGTCGAGCGTGGATGAAGAAGGGGAATGAAGCCGTGACCACGGAAGTGGGAGCTTGTTTGGTTCGGTGAGTCAGGAGCGGGTTGAACTTGCCGACTGGCAGTGACGGGCACCTCAGCCAGGGCAAGAACCGGATCATTTATTCCGCCACGTCTACCGCTCAACCACTCAACCTAAGTAAAAGTTATGGTGAAGCTCGCCTATACTTAGAGGAGACTTTAGAGGACTTTAGGCCTAAGCTTTGTCAAACTTAGGCCTTTCTCATCTAATAACCAAGTTGCATGGGTCTATGAAACAGTGCCTCTGCCGGTTTTTGTTGTGTGGTTCGCAGGGCCTCATGTCCATCTTTTAGGGTCTCATACAGGTGCATACTCACCGCCGTATAATTCTATGATCTTCTGATGTTCAGTTCGGATTTTCCGAGGTTTCTGTGTTTGCTAGTCTTGTATGTAGTTCAATCCGCCAAGCGCTTTGTATTAATATAAATGTAGCTAGCGAAACAGGGGGTAGATTACAGATGCGTCTGCCCCCGTTGCATCGAGAATTTCCTCTCCTATCTAATCAAGTCTCGTGGACGCAGGTTATCCCGCCTCACGATAAATTTCATTAGTTCTTCGGGAGCGAGTCGATCGTCCTGCTCCGAATCCGATTCGCTCAAATTATACTTCAATCTCGGCTCTCCGTACTCGATTTTGGACAACTTGCCGCCTATCAAACGATCGAGCAAGGAGAGAAAGTCGGATAGCGGGCTCCTCCGCTCGAGTTCAGAGGAATACACTTCAAAATATTCATGATCGCAATCCATGTAGATCAGATGATAACGAGCCAGTTGTTCACTCTCAACGTGCCATAGAACGTTTCTATCGATAAGTTGAACCGCCTTCCTGTATTTCTTGTTGTGGGCCTGGTCCAAAAGTAATCTGATCAAAAAGGCCAAAGATGGAGGATAATCTTTGACGCGGTTATCCGGACTGAACTTTTTCATCGTCTGATACCAGGATGGGTCAAACTCAACAGCGATATTAGTGATGTCGTCAATAAAGTGACGCCCCCATTCATCCTCAGCCTCGACATGAAGGGGTTTCCAGTTCGTGACCAGTAGTTCCCATGACTCGGCGGTGACGCAAAATATATCTCGTTCCATATCCGCGACTTGGCGCCAGGGTTCGTAATCGCCTTTCCTGTGTATAAGTCCTTTTAGACTATAAATTGGAGGAGGAAAAGGTTCCGAGTGAAACCAGATGACATCACCAAGACTCTTATCATTGGTGTTCTCCTGCATGTCTGGCCAGCCCTGATTACTCCAATGCTTCGCAGCAATATCTCGTGACTCTTTGCAAGCCGTCCAAAGACCTGCGTGCCATAGATATGCAGATCTGTTTCTGGGACCAGCCGTTTGCCATTCGCAGTTCAAGGGAGCGAGTTGCCGGTTCTCATTCAATTTGATGTAGTGCAGACCAAAACGACCACTGCCCCAATCAAAACATGCATCTTCCCATATTTGCAGCCGAATTTCAACAGGCAAGTTCGGGAATGGGTGGAAAGTAGCTCGACTCATGGTGGATCGAGCGTGGTTTGGCATTGATTTGGAAGTCTGGCAGGTAAACGAGACAGTGGAGGGTGTTTGTGCTAGCGTTGAAAACTGAGTAAGAGCTTTTATTTATAAGTAGCTCGACTTAATGGCTGATTGTACAAACTCCGTGTTGGTAAAACCTTGAATTACAAACGCACGAGCTTCTGATACGTGAGTGATGAATTTAAGAAAGTCATCTTGTGACCCATGACTTTAGGTTTATTTCTTCAATCATATTGACAAGGCAACGAACAAAGGTTTAATGAGATCACGTAAAGAAATCACCGCCAAAGCATACTCTCGAGTATCCTGTTTTGGTCTTGTTGATTGCTGACGCTAGTTCTATCAACTCGCTACCATTAGCTGCACGCTGAGATTCAGGTCCGCCATGTGCTATGGTTCGGACAGGGTGCTACTAACGGATCATTGGAACTTGTTTGTCCCGCCTCAGAACTGCTATTAAATAGTCAGTATCGAGAACGTGAGCCCTACTATGCCAATCGGCAGCCTCATTTAATTTCCCCATGAACAAGTAGCTGAGATTCTCCAGAAAATCATCCATGGGACTGTCTGGATGTGGAATATGCGTACTGAAGCCCATAACATATCCCAGCTCCACGTACTCCTGGCCAGAATCGAAGATCCTACATCCACCATGCCCTTCAGTGTCGAATGATTTCCATTCAGATACATCGTCGATCAACATAACCTTCGATCGGCCAAAAGAAAAACGGACTTCGGTTGCAAATTGGAAAAGCAGTCTGATCGCAAAGGCCATTGGGGGATAGAGGTCACGCAGAACAGTGGCGAAGTAGGTTGTTTCCACGGCCTTCTGCATTTCTTCGGACCACAATGGGTCAAACTTGACACCGATGTTCAGAGGTTTCATCAAACGCCTTCGACCTCGTGCATCTTCGGTTTGAAGATATATCGGTCTCCAAGGTCTCAGAAGAGACTCCCATGAGTCAGTGGTGATGACGCATATGTCCTGAGTAAGATCTATAACTTGGTCCTGAGGCAAAGGATCGCTTTTTGGGGGGCAAACTACCCTCATGCAACGTCGTGGGCGTGGACACCCCAAGTAATGATTTTCGAACTTTCTTACAACATCATATGACTCCCTACAAGCTGTCCATAGCCCTACATGCCATATATAGGTATGCCATGTGTAGCCGCATCTGCTTCTTGGGTCATCGGTCTTCCAATCGTAGTCCCGAGGCCAGATGTTTCTGCTTTCGTCCATATACAGGTAGTGAATGTTCCTTCGCCTCTCTCTTGGTCTCAGCGGTAAGCAGGTATCTTGCCAGATTTGCTCGCGCAGCTCAAAAGGTAGTCGGGGAAAGGAATGGAATGTGGTGGTGTCCATGATGGGCTTCAGGTGTCGGCTGTCACTGGCGGCTCAAGTGTTGGCTGACGAATGAAGGATGAGGAAGGAGTCGGACAACAGGTGCTTGTTTACAGACAGTGGCGGCTCTGAGACTTTATGCGTGAGACGATCCGGGATGAGTCAGTGTCCCAAAGAAGCTTTCTTGGATGTTGTACATCATTGGATGGCCCTGTATGTGATGCATTTATTTGTTTTTGCTTGAACCTTGAAGTAACGTTTAATCGGATAATGGCAGCAAGTTGAACTGTAAAAGTCCCAAAAGTATTAGTCACCAATCGAGAAGAATGAGATGCCTTTCGGGTTTCTACATTGACAGTCTTTTGCACATACCACATGCGGAAACCTTATTCATGAACCTTGAATCTCCCAATATAATCTACTGAGTGCCCATAACCAACGCTTTACAAGACCAGTACTCTCTTCTAGTCCCTAAGTCCGCTTTTCATCGAAGATCCCATGCGGACAACGTCTTAGCGAAGCCCAATCAGAGTCCTCTCTCTCGAGCCCAAGATGCAAGAACTGGGCAAAACACCACAGCCATCTAAACTACCATCTCCATCGCACAGCTGGCTTTCCCTTTACGGTTTTCCCATGTGACGAAGTTACCGAGGCAGCCTTCTTCGTCTGGGGCCGCATAGCATTGCCTCTTGTAATCTTGGGCACCACCTCGTTGTCACACCTGGCCATGACCCGAACCAATTTCCGCACAGACAACCCATCCGGCGGAAGCCCGTAATCACCCCAAGCCCAAGGGGATGTCTTTCGTTTCCAGGTCAATGTAGTTTTCAGAAGCCGATCGACCTGGTCCAAGAACCTGAGCATGGGAGTGTGTCGGACAAGACGATTTGGGTCCAGAGAATTGCTCGGGTCGATTCGGATATACTCATGTTCGCAATCGTAATACACCGAGGGTTCTTCGGCGTTGCCAATTCTCTTCCAGCCAGAGAATCTGTCGATAAGATGGAGAAACGGCGGTAGAATCATTTCCTCAGTTGCTATTTGGCAAATGACTTTGATGGCGAAGGCTAAAGTAGGTGATAAACGGTCCGTCGGTTGATACTTTTCGAGACCAGCCAGTTCAGAGGTCCAAGCCGGGTCAAACTCGACAGCATACTCAAGAATACCAATATTAGCGCGTTCCAAGGAGAGCCTGAACCGGGCTAGGGGCCTGTGATTGTCCGGAGTAATGCAGAACATGTCCCCGAGGGACGTAGCCATGAGCCATGGCTCATACGCTTCTGTTTTTCGATCCCACTCATTCCAAATCACATCTACTTCCTCTTCATTGCCATAAAACCATTTCCTCAGACCGCCGTTCACTTTCTTGTCCACATACTCGGGATTCTCTTTGTAGATCGGGTCGCTGAACCAGTGATTTCGCATGACCTCACGAGACTCTTTGCAGGCCATCCATAGGCCTGCGTACCAGAGGTAGGCAGAGCGGTTGGCCGGGAGAAGTTTATTCCAACTGCAATCTAGAGGAACATAATCGCCCCTTTCATCAAGGCTTACGTAGTTTATGCCGTAGGATTGCTTCTTCTGAGCCTGTGGCATCAGACTTTCTACGCCAAAACTGTCCCAGTCCCATGCTGAAGAATCGTAAATATGTGTCGTCGGTTTTTTGATTGCTGACTCCCAGATTTGGAGCCGGAGCTCACACGGGAGCTGTGGGAAGAGATGGAAAGTTTTGGGAGACATTATTAGAAGCTTGTCGGTCTTGATGCGTGAAGGAAAAAGATCTGGAGCTAAATTTGGGATAAGGAAGAATTACTGAAATGGGACCTTTGTGTTCCTTAAGTACCTTATGTCTTTGTAGTGTTACTTTCGTACATAAAGTAAGTAAAATTTCATATAAAGTCACACCTAGATCTCCCCAATCAAGTCAAGAGTATGTTTCAAGGTTCAGTTAGGAACTAATAAGCTGTCTAGCCCATAATAGACACATCAGTCCTCCCAAACTTTATTCTGAAAGCATATGAGGACCAGAAATACACTATTTTACAACCTTTCCCAGCAATATTGATCTTGAACTATCCCATTCGGTTTCTGAAACTTCTCAACCAGAGACCCTATTCCATCCAGGTCTCTGAGTCGAGTCATCGCACAAGTACCAGAACCAGCTTTTCGATACAAAGTACCTAATCTGTTCTCTCCCCACCCAAAATTGTGCTCGAATGGCCAAAGGGATCATAGACTCTCTCTGGATTGCGGTTCACACCTCACTCATTTACAGCTTCTGCTTCATTTTGCCGCAAAGCAATGATGGAAAAACAATCCCTTATAACGAATTTCGGCCCACGCCCAAGACGAAAAGCGCCCAAATTCTGGAGCTTGTCCTCCAACAGTCTGTCCAGATGGTCGAAGAATTCGAGCACCGGGCTATGGCAAACGATCCGTGCAGAAGATGAGCCAGGTTTCATGCTTATTTCTACATATTCGTGATCGCAGTCATAAAATGTGTCGAGACCAGGTTGTGTATTGTCGTCGTTTGTCCATCGAGCATTCCTATCGATAAGCCTGATGGGTGGCGTGGTGAAATCCCTGGTATGTGCTGCCTCGAACACCAGCCTGATCATAAAGGCCAACGAAGGCGGAAACTTCTTTATGGGGTAGTAGCTGTCATTCTGTGATAGCTTGATGTTCCAAGAAGCCTCGAATTCGAAGGCGAGTCCATTGAATACTCGCAGTGGGTAGCAATTCCCACGGCGCACGGCGCGCCCTGCCCTGTTTAATGCGACGCAGAAAATATCTCGCGAGGGACAGATGAAGATTTTCTGTTGTTGTGATTCATTATTCCTTTGGCCTTGATCAATAGGAGGAATTATTGATACAGGCCCCCTCCCATGGTACCATTCGCGCTTGTCCAAGGTGAAGTTTAAAGTGGTAAGTCCAAAGCTAGAGCAGCTGAATTCGACATCTTGCTGCTGTTGATGCTTCATTGCAGCTGCTCGGGAGTCCCAACATGCCGTCCAGAGACCTTGTTCCAATTCGCAACCTGACCTTGGTCTCCGGAATTCGTCTTTGGCGGTTTTATCCAGTGGAACCGGAAATCCGTCATGGTCAAGGCCGATGTAGTGCAGTCCACCGGGAATGGCATTTGGTGAGCGAAACGAGGATTCCCATATCTGCAGCTGGATTTCGGAGGGCAGTTCTGGGAATTTATGGAAGCTTGAGGGTGCCATCGTATGTCGACTTGGGGGAGATAGAAGGAAGGGATATGCCAGGATGATTAGCAGAATAAAACAAGGTTCTTATATAGTGGCCTTGAATTTTGACTTTACGGGAGGGTTCACAACAAAGGCTTTATTTGTGGTAAAGTTTAACTTTTGACGCTTGTCATTGGCACGAGATGCTGTTTCTGTGGCATCATCTACCCAGTTGATCAACACAAAATAACACTCTCATAAACGCAGTTCAGGCAGTATAGACTGTCAGTTGCAATCACAATTGCCCGCGGCATCATTCGTTGCTCAAAATGGCTACTGATATGCAATTACTTAACAGAAAAACGTCTAGACTACTCGTTGTGCGTTCAATAACTACCAAAAAGGGAATGCGAGTAAACGAACGTCAAGCGGCCAATGACTCATCCGGCACCCGACTCGGGAATAGCGTCCAAGATGGCTGGGCACTCAAGAGCCTCATCCAACTACAAAAGCATTGCATCACCAATAGCCGATCCATCAGTCAATTACATCAACCACCATATCACATCATTACACCTGCAACACATCAACTATCATGGACTACTCCACAGAAGACATCGCCAATGCTTACCAGTCAAAGCGACTCGAGTACGTCCGAGCCGACAAGACCGATGAAAACTTTAAAAAGATTGCTCTCACCATCCTTCAAGATCCTGTCATCCAGGCCCTCTCAGCACCCACCATGCTGTTGCCAAAGGGGCCCAAGGAGGTCGACTCATACATAGACTCGGTTGTCAACTCTTTGCTCGGTGTCGCGATATACCTCAGAGATGATGTCGGCGACGACAAGACAGAAGGCAAAGACAAGAAGCCCCCGACTATCATTGGCGTCATGTGCATCGGCTGGGGAGGCATCTCACCCACAGTCGCCCATCATCGAACTGCCGAGATTGGTATCTCTCTTGTCAAAGAGCATCAAGGCAAGGGCTACGGAAGAGAAGCCATCAACTGGATGGTAGACTGGGGCTTCCGACACGCTGGTCTACATACAATCGGTATGACTACTACCGATTATAACCCTCGAGGAGTCTATCTTTACGAGAGTATTGGTTTCAAGCTGGAAGGCAGAAGACGGCAGACTGTCTGGATGAATCGCAAGTGGTACGATCTGATCGAGTTCGGAATGACGGAAGAGGAATGGGAATCACTTCGGGGTCTTGATACGAAACAAACGTAATGTATTTGGTCAATGGCTACTCATTTGAAACATGTTCGCGCAATGGCCTGCATCGTATAGGATTCTGTACAGGGAAACTGGCGCAAAAGAGGCAGGCCCATGCTCATGTCAACCAGGGTTGGCGACAATTGAATGGCGATATCATGCACGTGTAGGCAGACCCCAGGGGGCAAGAAAACACCGAACCTTATTATAGGGTGTCAAAATAAACTTGGCAAAGAGTTTCCTAAGCTTAGACTAGATTTACCTAGTATTTTCAGCGCTAAGGGCTAAGGTCCTGAGTTTTCTTTCTTTCCCTAAGCAGAGTAGTTCGCGGTGCATTGTAGTCGTTCAGCTCACGCTCTAGTGAGCATGACGCCGTCAATAGGTGTCCTATCTGGAAAGACAACGATTTGGATTGGCAACTGTCTCGATAGACGAAAAGCAGCCTCGGAAGCTGCTTCAGTTCGCAAGTCTTTCAAGGTTGCTGGGTAGCAGCAGCACATTGATCTGGGTTGTAGAGTGCGCCTGAAGGACGGCTGCCGAGAAAAACAAGTCAGCCGGTCGTTGACCGGCTAAATCATAGCATTTATCGCCAAGAGGGAATGACTGCCAAACGACGTCACGATGTGTGCGTTCCTCGGAGAACAATACATCGATTGGAGGACGGAGCTGTGGCAGCAGAACCAAGGCATCGACCGCAGAAAGTGGTGATCGGAGACGGCTGTGTATACTACATTGCACGGGATGGCTTTCCCTGCCGGGAGCGCACCCTGTGTCCGTTGCCCTGATGTGCACGCAAATGCTTCCAGAATCAGGCGACAGCCAGAGCCGCTGTAGGACTTCGGTACATATGGCCGGAGATGTAGGTTGCGAGGGAGCAAGTTACGCCAAGTGATTGCATCGAGAAACAGAGTCATCTACTCGTACCAAAACGCATCAAGGAAGTCGTAATGATTCAGAAAGTTGGATTCTGAAGACAAACCAGTCCAACCTTCTCGAGTAGTGAAGCGAAGCAGGCGCTGAGATGTCGTGCACAAACACTGATGCCAGCCAAAAGAGATGGCGGAAATAGCAAGGAAAGCGACTATGGGTGTAACCGGCTAGTTTTATCACTGTGCGCCAGCTTCTTGCCACCCCTTTGCGTCTGACACAGCCTTGAGAGGATGGAAATTGTGAAATGGCATTGCGGAGCACATAGCATCAGCGGTATCAGCCCGTCGACAGCCCGCCTTTGCCCTCAAAGGTGCCTAATATGTCGCTTTTGGCTGGAAGGTTAGTGGTCCCGATGGCTGTCTCCAATGCCATATTAAGGGGGCCTGCCGCCCCTGTGTGATGAGAAGTTGAGTTGGACTGTCTTGACAGCAGAGCAGCAAGCCCCCTTATACGATCATCAACACAGTGAGGTCAAGCTGGGCTGTCGACAGGAGAAAAAGGAAAACGTATCACAGTCGACATCCCACTGCCGAAGCGAAGCGCCCTTCCCACGATGATACAACGCCACGTGGTGGAATTGTTGATCACGTAGAGATGTATGTGTAAAGCATGTAGCTGCATTGGAGATCCGTCGTTCGTAGTTGTGGGAGGATCGTCGATGCCGTAACTTGTTCGTATCGAAGTCGGTCGTCGTGCGTTTGGATTAACATCGCAGGCGGTCATAAATGAGTCGTCGCTATGTTTCGCCATCGTCGTCGTCCATCGTATTCGTCGGTCGCCCCTATCGCTCGGTCGTTCGTTCGATCGTTCGCTCACTCGCTCGTCGTGAAGGGTACTTGTATCGTTGGTGCTGGCTTACTTGTGGCGTCTTTTATCGTTCGGAGATCGTCGGTCGTTGTCGGGTCGTTGTCGGGTCGTTGACGTCTTTGTTGTACGCGCATTGTGGTTGGTGATTGTTGACTGGTAGTGAAGGGTCAGTGCCTGAAGATGTAGATGGAACAGGCAGTACTGACAGTTGATGATGTCGGGAATGCTTTAAAGGTGATGACTGGCGTGCGGTCTGTTGGGTTTGGGATGACGAAGGCGTCGCTGAACGCGCGAAATAAGTGCGTCTGCAGAGCCATCCATCGCCACAAGAGGATATGTTATTAGGCAACTTTCTGTCGCAACGCGAGCGACATGTTTGACAATCGCGTCATCCCGTCTTCTCCGACACCGCAAGGAGAGTACGCGATGGAGGAGCGGTGGAGTCAACCAGTATTACCGGGAGTCTTTCGCATTTCTCCAAAACTCTGGCACAAGGACCGTCGTCGGTCGGAGCCCAAATGCTACCCTCTAGGGAATACTGAAACGAAGAGTCGAAGTGAGAGGCCAGCTCTTGCACAGGTCTGATCTACGCACATGCCGAAGCAGAGAATACTCAGCAGTGATCAACACTGTATGCGCAGTTCCGCCTTTCCCTGAACCCAGCCGAATATGAACGTGGGTAACATTCACGCGTTGCGGAGAGCTGTACGCAGCTTCAGTTGTACGCACGGTCAGCGCTCACAATTGCAGAGACCACCACGTCTTGGACATTTGGCCGACGATCAAGGGCTCAACATCCAACGATCCTTGGGGAGATCCGACTGCCATCGCTCGCGAGACCCGATCCTTGTCTTGCTTGGTGGTAGGTATTGGGCCCAACATATGGTCAGAAACTTTGGCATCGGGGAGATGCAATCGAGGACCGGTGCTGCCATTGTGCTTTCGTATGGGCGACAGGTCGAGCTATTGACGTGCTACTTCGCTGATGCCCTCTGTTCGCCACGGTTGTCTGGAATTCATGAGGAGCCTCTCCCACGGTGTTGATAAGTGAGGCAAAAGGGCACTGGCAGCAAATTTCGAAGACCTTACTTCGCGAAATCGGTTCTCGCCTCTAGAAGTTTGTCTCCCGAAAACAAGAATGAAGGACCAAGACGTTCTCCGAACATTACATGGAGAAGGCGTTGTGTCGCATGTCTACATCCCTTCACAATCGCCTCCGGCCGCTCAAGGCGGAATACAGATCACCGACCTGATCACGGCCTCCACTGGCCTGTACATGACGATCTTGTCTCTTTGCGTGCTCTAGGCGTCAACATGTTCGTGCTAACGGTTGCACGGATGTGGTTCGAGGAACGATTGTGGGTCACGCTATTGGGCCGCGCTTGTGGAATGCAGTTGTCGCACAAGATTTCCTGTCGTTCCAAGGCGAGTGGTAAGGGATCGTACTGCCTACAAATACCGTGGTGGATTGATTATGAACAGAATAGCCGATCGCTTTGCCATCGGCAGGCAAGAATCTAGTAAAGCCACATCAGGAACCACGAGAGGGATGTGCCCAAGTTCCGTCAAGAGATAACGGCTGCTTCTTCAACTCGAGGTCTCAATTGGTCTCCCCCATCGGAATTTGTATTGTGAGAAGACTAGGTTGTAAAGAAAGAGACCCGAGGGTCCGTCGGAGCGAATGAAGTATCCCCCTTCTTAACGATCCGATTGCGAGTCGAATAGCTCGATAAGGGTCAGCCAGCCTCGTAGAAGATTACGTCCAGGCGGCGGTGTCAATCTGTGGCAAGATTACAATCGACTATGGAGGTGCCTAAAGCCTTTGGCACCAACCAGCGTATTGCGACCGTGTGTATGGCGCCTGCCTCGGGATCAGTACTTCCTTGGTGGCATGGATTGGCTGGTATGATGGTGAAGACAGCGTCACGAGGGTCGCCATCGAAATGTAATCTGTGTGGGCGGAGAAGATGGAAAGCAATGCCCATGTCACCGCGGCATGTTTAGCTCAGAAACGGCTAATATCCAACATGGGTTATCGTTTGTTCATTCCTGTCTACCGGCTTCGCTGAAACTGCGGCAGTGTGTTCTCCCTGTCCCGACTGGTTGCGAGCTTCAAAGCACCGAGATAAAGTTGGTGTTCGGTTCATGACACACGTCAACGGCAGGTCATTTTCGCCGGAATTGAGGAGCAGGGGAGAGCGGTCCAAGAGTGCGTCAAGGTAAGCTCAAGATGCGTCGCAACGATGCGAGTGAGAAATATTCCGGTTCGACTAGTCGCAAGTAACACTCATGGCTGGGTGGCTGGGTCCAAGTGCTTTTGCAAGATCCAAGTAGTGCCAGACACTATCAAGCACGGTGGAATCATTCCGGGGACTGGTCGACGACAAGAAGAACCGGTCAAATGCCAGTGACTCTGTTTCCGAAGAGGAGTATTCTTTGCGGCATGAACCTCAACATTTACGTCGCTGTCTGACAGCCTCCAACCATCTTCAGCCAACAACACTCGGCAACATGTGCAAGATCGCAGATTCGCCAAATGCCGAGGTCTTGGCTGAGGCGTTTCACATCCGAGTCTTCAGCGGCGAGGAACTCTCCGGTGCTTCAAGTGAACACTGAAGCTTTGCTGGTTTGGTCCGAGTCAATTGGCAGCAGCAAGCGGTCGACATGCCCGTCGTCTCTTGGTGACATTAAAGGTGTTGGCGCCGTAAACAACTCTAGGCGGTCTCTTCAAAGTCAGGATTCGGCACCTGGGCTGAAGATGGCGTGGGTGCCCATAGGGTTGCGGCATCTTGGGTCAAGAGTCGATGATAAGTTTCTGGCCTGCATTCCAGCCCGATAACAAGCATCAGAGGCAGACTGACGCCCTTTATCTTTGGGGAAAGCTTGACAGGATGTTGAAGTCGTCTCGGAGGCTTTGTCCAGTGCGACCGGCTCAGGAACAGTGAATCACAACAGCATGGCGCTGAGGTTGAAGCAGACCACTTCTCGCGAAGATGTCTATGACGAGACGAGCACAAGACGAATCAAGAGGGCGTAGGCGATGATTTCGAGGGTGAAACTAACAAAATGTGGTTCGTCTCCTTCGCTTCGTGAGAATTGAGCTTGTCCACGTGGCCATTTACAAAATGTTCAGCGACTCGATACAAATCAGCTAGACGACAACGAGGGCGTCTAAATCCCCGAGTTCCGGATAGGCACAGCTCTCAAGACTTTGTGCCTGCGATACAGCTTGCAAATCCCCGGGCAGTATTCACGGCAATAGCGGAATCGAGTCACCGCATGAAGCCATATCGTTTCGCAACTTGTTGCCGCCCAGTATCGACGGCAATGATAGGTCCGGTCGGGTGCAGTTTTATCGAGTCGAAGGGGGCGGATGTAGCATCTTCGTCTCTGCTGGCAGTCATGGCTTCGATTCGGTCGGCAGCAAGGAGGTGCTGGTGGAAACACCACAGTTTCGTCTGTAACTTCGACTTGTTCGCCGGCTGGAGACTTCGTGTTGCGTTCCTCGCCATCGTTCTACTGATGTGTGGAAAACTATTTGCCCATCTCAATCAAGAGCCGGCCGGGCTGCGCAGCGGTGTTTAGGTCGCCTCTTGTTATTGCAATTGACGTGGCCATGATAGGCCAAGGCAACGTGCCTCACAGAAGAGTCGCAGGCCTCTGTGGTGCCACGAGGGCTGCGAAGACACGTGGGCAACCGTCGAGGAAGGCAGCGGGATCTCTTGATCTTGCTTGAGAGCATGAAGATCGCGTCTGGGTCGATCGAGAGGCAGGTCCAAGGCAGGATCTGTATTCTCTGGCGTCATTTCACATTGGGTCTGCTCGAATGGCTTCAATCGCCACGGTCGGCCGTGAGCACGCTTGCGGTGCTACAGAAGCTGCTCGTTTTGCGACGGTATTGTACGATCATATTCAAGTCTGGATTCGAGGAAAAGGTATGCACCGGAGCGTAGGAAGCAGGTCGTTGGCACAAGCAATGCACGGTTGACGCTGGCCGAGACACAAACGTTGTCTGGCGACGATGATTGCAAACATGAGGGAAAACTTCAGTGGTCCGAAAGCCCCGGTATCGAGACTGTAATGATGTCGGATTGATTCGAGGACAAGATATACTGGGCTCACGGTGTTGCAGGCGATAAAAAGGTCATGTATGGCTGGCAAGGCGTCGGCGCTGGGACAAGCCAGGTCGAGTTGCCTGATCACGGAGGTGCGAGGGAGGAGACGAGTTGCAGAGACAGGAATCGAGAGTATTTCATTTTGATCCGGAATGATGATTGCAGCTATTTGCGCGGCTCTCCTTGGCGTGTTGATTGACAGTTGCAAGTTGGAAAGAGGAGATTGCTTCAGCGATCTGGTGCCAGAAATCCTGGCCTCGCGACCGTTAGTCATCGGCGATAACCAATGATTGCAAGGTAGCAGAATTCTGCCAAAACAACCGCGCTTGAAGGGATAATCTTGAAATATTGTGATTATAGTAAGAAAGACGCAGGCGACAATTCAGTAGGTCTTAAACAAAGTTATGACGTTTGGTAGAAATTATTTTGCGCTTCAGTGGATAATTTCCTGTGCCCAAAAATTGTGGGTGGGGTCAGGCATGTCTGCTCGTAAACGTGATAACCTAACATGTGAGGAGCGCTCAACACAAATGACTTATAATACTGCTTGCAATGTTTGGGAATACAAGTACAAGTCTATTGAGGCTGATTCTAGCCATGAAAAACTCCACTTCTTTGGACTGATGCTTAAGCCCTCCCGTCGTGCCTCAGAAATCACGGGCCGCAAGTAATTGCTTACCCTGGATCTACACTCTCCATGGAGTTTGGTGTCAATCACATCCAAATCCTCAGAACTAGCATTCAGAGTAAAACTATTGCTACTTGAGTAGATCAAAATATATAGCTATGATGGTTCCACTTTGTGCCAGTTAATCAGCCATCGAAGTGGAGCGCCCGAGTCGGGGTTGATCTGCTCGTAGTTAAACACGACTCACTCTGTAGGCTTACGACCCCCAAAGCGTCACGTCGTTTGTCGTCGAGGCTGTAAATGTTATGTTAACTTCAGATTACATTGGCTTACGGCAGCTTTCTGTTCATGAACCTCAAAGACTAGTTCTATTTCGCCATGCGTGAGGAATCATATTTGGCTTGGTAAAATGTACGTATCTGTATGCTAAACCACGAAATAACCTATCATTAATCTACATATCGAGATTATCGTTGTTGGAAACGTCGCTCACTGAAACTTCCTCCCGGGAATCTAGTATGGTATCCTCGAAAGTTCACTTCCCGTTGTACGTTGTCCATCCACCCCCGTGCTT